TTTGCTGCCATAGCAGATGTGCGCCACGTAAATCGCGTAAAGGATTTTATGCATTTTATGTGTAATTGGATTCCACCGTTTCCGGCAACAGCGTATGAGCAGAATGACAACGGCGTGGGCTGCAGGGACCCCACGAACCTTGCCGTTGTACAATGGACGCTGCATCTGTTGTGGACCGGTCTTTCCTAAACAACATTGTGTTGGCAAGTGGTTACATTGTGCATGGTTGAGTCAACTGTTCATTGCGATGTGTATGCTTGGTGGTGTGCAAGTGTGTGTGTGTGTGCTCTTTTGCTGTGTGTGTATAATTTGCCAACTCTTTTTTTTTTATTATTTTTCACTGTTGATTTACGCCATGCTCCCCACTCTGGAGTTTTTCTCACGCATTATTGTTCTCGCTGTGCTGGCAGTCGTGATGATTGGTTCTGCCTGCAGTGATGAATTTATTGTTGATGAGGACGAAGGAGGCGTATTTGATTTGGTGCCACGGCAGAAAGGAGACAATGGGGGAGGATCGTGTGCTCAGTTTCAAGTAGCTTCTGCTGGTTTGGGCGGTACGCCGCCAGAGCCGATTCATTATGTCTCTGAAGAGTTGAAGGTGTGTTCGTCTTCATTTAAGGTCCCACTCTCAACTTCGTTGGATTCTGCGCTGAAAGCCGCTGTTGAATCGTTGGCCTCGCGTGCAACATCAGATGATGTGTGGGAACTTGACGATGCCTGCTCTCTTCCTCCGCCGTGTGCGAGTCACGCTCCTCGTGGTGTATAGGATCTGTGTGCATGCCACTGCTTGGTTGGAGGAGAGTTTTGGCGCTCATAGTAGTATATTGTAGGATGTGTTTGTTTTTCTGTTTGGTTTTTGTTTTGAAGGCGTGCTCTCGTAGAATCCTCAACGCTCACTAGCGGAGAGACTTGGCAGTGTCTGACCCGCGTGTTTGAGTCTTCTTTGATCGCGGCGAGCAACATGTCCAGAGTCTTGGTGACGACGAAGAAGATTGGTTTGCCGTTTTTTTTGTTATTGATATATATATATATATATAT